GCGGGCGCTGGCTAGGGAGCGAGGCTCGCCTCCGCCGAGGCTTTGAGCCGGGGCCGGCTCTGAACCGCGGTGTTTATTCCCGAGCCCTAGCGGGTGAACGAAGTGTCAGTGTGGTAAAGGTTGTAGCAAAGTGTCCCCCGCCTCTGGCGTTGTGCTGTTGACTGTGCCGAGTTAATCACCATCTGGAGTAGGAAGCTATGGCCCTTGCTGAAGAAAGCAGAGAAGAGGTGGTAGATCAGGGACTGATCCACTGTGGCATGAGTTTTGAAGTTCTAGGCTATGGTAGCTGTTTGGCCTTATGCTTCAGACAGGCTTCTTGCCTTCTGGTTTGTTTGTTTTTCTTTTTTTCCTACTCTTTATTAGCAGTGTTCACTACAGCCTATTACTCCTCCCTCTGTTGTCCAGCTCACACTGATGTGATAGTGCCTATTCAAAATTATTTTTCAATGTTGAGAAGTATTGATGACTCAAAAGGTAAGTAAAATACTAGCCAGAAAATTTAGGCACTACTTCTTTGTTATCTTTAAGTTAATTCAGAAGGAAAATTGCAGTGCATGCCCTCTAGGACGAAGCTGCTTTTATTGTAAAATTGGGGACAGTGTTCTTTTGAGGGTCAAATTAGGATTGTAGTCTTATTTTCCTAGATACACAAACATTAAAAAGAACAAACTGTGAGGGTGAGTAAGTAAAAAAAGAACTAAAAAGTTTGTTCATCTCTGTATTAGCATGGACATCTGACTACTATGTGGTGTTTCCTATGAGCATTATAGCAGAAAAACATCTGAAGGCGTAAGTCGTAAGAGTGCAAGCTCTGGTGGGGTGAGTCAGTGCATTAAAGGCACATCAATGTGTGGAGTCCAATAGGTAGGTAGAGCTGATACTGCTGGCTGGGTGGAGCATATGGGAAGTGACTGGATAATATTCATTTCTCGTGTTTGTAACTTTGAGTTCTTGAATCAACCTCGTATGTTTTTTCTCTTTCCATAACATAGTTCTGTATCCTGTAATGCTTTTATTTACTGTATAAAAATCCTGTCATACCTCTAAATATTATTTTTAGAGTCCCTGTGTTGGATTGCTGGAGGATGAGATTGGAATTGGATATACTGTGATGAGCCCTTTAATTTCTCGTTTTCTGGCTTTGTCTGTTGCAGACTGTTATCCTCAGTAATTGGTTGAGCTTGGGATCTGCACTTGTGTCTCTCTGTCTTTAGAGCAGAATCCTGATAAATAATATATAGTTTGGATAATTATAGTGAAATTAGATGCGGCAAGTCGACTCACTGCTAAAGCTTGTTGATCTGAGGGAGACTGGCATCACTGTCAGTTCTTATTAGTAGGCTAGCTGATCTTATTGTTACTGTTGTATAAGTCTCTGTATATTTTCAGTAGCCTGGTCAGGAGTGCTTAGGGTACTTTGTCCCACTATGATGAGTGTTTCAGTATACGGGAAAAAGCACAGAACTACTGGGGAAAATGAGGCAAAAGTGCGGGGCAGCCCTTTAAGTGCAAATGTTAGGATAGCAAGACCCTGTTTCTTCTTTTGGTGTTTTCTCCAAACAAGCAAAACGCATGCGTAGAAATCAGGCCAAAGAGATGTGCTTTGTTGATTTAGATGTGAGTTTGAGCTAATTCTTCATGCTCTGAGCTGTTGCAGTTAAGGATCGAGATCGCTTTGGCTATGTTTATGGTGGGATTTGTAGTCTTTAAGCAGATGGATGGGTAGACAACCAGCGATGATAGAGATAATTCCAGCAGTATTCCTTCTTAACCTGCTTGCTATTACAGCATCAAGATAAATAATTGCATCTTAAACAAGTACATTTCAGCACTTTTTGCATTGTTCCAGTGAGTCAAAATAGTTTTAAACCCACTAGCATTGCTGATACTCTCTGATTGTTTTGATGTCCTAAAAACACACCCTTGAAATTGAAGAGTTTGGGTTATTGTGGTGTTCTAAAGAGGTGGTGGGGTTTTCGGTATATTTCTCTTTTGAATGTCAGTGATTGTTCTGTTTATATACATCAAGCTACAGGAATTCCGAGCTGGAAAACTGAAGATAATGGCATGATTTAGGATAAATGGAAGAACAAAAAATGTAAGCTATGAGATGACGTAGAATTTAACAATAGCTGTACTATCTGCAACCAAGGCAGTAACCAGTATGCAATTTTACAATGTCCTGTTGGTGCTTTGGAAAGACCATAAGAACAGGAAAAGTATATTTGATGCTTTCTCTAATATTCTTCAGCCTCCAGCTATTTTCACCTTAGTAGCTTTGAGTCAGGCATGGTGTCTGTTTAAAAAAACCCTCTATGGCTTTTTTCTTCCATGTATTTGTCTAATCTTTCCTTGAACTCAAATAAACTTCTTGCAGTCACTGCATCTGTTGGCAGGGAGCTACCCACATAAACTACCCATTCAGTGAAGAGCTATCTCCTCTTGTTTTTTGAGTTGTATTTGATGACTCTTAGATCTTCTAATGGAACAAGAGTGTGAGATTTATCTCTGTCTTCCCACTTTGTGCCATTCAGGATTTCATAGATCTAAATGGTATTCCATATATTTCCCTCCCCCGCCCCCACCCCAGACTAAATAACTTGTTTAGTCATTCCCTCTCTCGAAGCTGTTCCATATCAGTGATCATCTTTTTTGCCCTTTTCTGAAGCTTTTCCAGTTCTGTGGGGTGTTTGTGGGGGGGGGAGGGGGGGGGTGGGCATTGTGTTGGAGGTGCTGGGCCTTGTGTCGGGGGATCTGGGTGTTGTGTTGGGGGTGCTAGGCTTGTTTTTGGGCTGCTCAG